GGATAGCCTTTCTCTTCTCCAGGAGCTCTCCATGGGAATGCGATTATAACAGGTAGGAAGGCCAGGGGTCTCAAAACAGAGGAAATAGGCTGCAAATGTTCAGACATTTTTTCTCTCTCTCTTAAGTGGCAGGAGGAAACAAATTAGAGTTATATTTTTTCCCCTTCTCTATACAAATTTAAAAAGAGGTTTCTCTTCAAATTCTGTGTTGCCGTAATGACACCTGGTTCCACCTAAACTTAACTTTTCCCAAACCTTGAGCTAACCATTGCATCTTTCTTATGGAAATGTTTGTCTTAAGCTGTTAATGTATTGTGTATTTACCCTAGACTCTGTGTTCAAGTCAGTTCCACCTAAAGGCTTAGAACCAACTTGACAAACCAGTATGTTATACACATACATTGTTCTCCTAATCTGTGTTAATGAAACAGTATATTTGTTTGGAAATCTGCCTTTCTTCAAGATTCATGTCAATCGTTTTATGGCCTGGGATGACTCACCTGGTGCCAATGTTATCTCAAGGCATGTTGTGGGTGAGGGGCCTGGTGCCATTCTCTGAATTTTGAGACATCCCCTTTCTCTAATTAGCAGACCACTAGTAGCTGTATAACATCTGGCTGAAGACTAGCAAGGGGGCACTCTTTCTGCCCCCTCCTGATGTCTGTGTCAGAAGGTTTCTCTATCTCTTTTATACTTTAATAAAACTTTATTACACAAAAGCTCTGAGCAATCAAGCCTCATCACTGGCCCTGGATTGAATTCTCCTCTGGAGAAGAGAGACACACAAGAATCCTGGTGTCTTTCGCGGTTCAGCAACAAACTTTCACTTCCAAATTATACGAATTTGGGAAATGACAAAAAGAATAGACGACCTACGCTACGGGTGAAATGTGAACGATGGAGCAGAGCATCCCCACTGCCATCAGCAGGGAGACCAGGAGTCCAGAAATTCAGCACTTCACCTGGACCTCAGTGAAACAGCTCCGGTCCTGCACTAAACTCAGGAGCCCTCCAGACTCCTTTTGCTGCTCCCCAGCGGCCGGGAGGGGGCGCCCGAACTCTCAGTAGCTGACAAACCCACACCGCCCACCCAGCGGGACCCGCCTCCAGGTACAGCGCTGCCAGCTGAGGTGTCAGATTCACAAGCTTTGCGCCGCGTCTCTCAGAGCCTTTGATTTCTGCACCTCCAAATTCTAGATAAGCTACCATTGCGTCCATCCTCCCCTTCCTGGGAGATTTTTGCTAGAGCGGTTCACACCGGTGCCCTTTTATGCTGCGATTGACGGCTGGAAATCACAGCTTGTTGTGGTATGTTTTCAGATTCAGGATTGTTTTGGAGTGAGTTAAAGTCGTTCAGTCGTGTCTGACTCTTAGCGACTCCATGGACTGACTATACACTCCATAGAATTCTCCAAGCCAGAATACTGGAGTGGGTAGCCTTTCCCTTCTCCAGGAGATCTTCCTAACTCAGGGACTGAACCCAGGTCTCCCGCATTGCGGGCAGAACTTTACCAGCTGAGTCACAAGGGAAGCCCTTGTTTATGGGGAAAAGGAGTAATTCAGGGAAAGGAGAAAGGTATCTACAATCTGGACAGGAATCTACTAGATATTGGGACCCACCAGTGGGAAGACTTGGGGACAAAACTGAGACTTAAAAAGGAGCTCCTAGGTAAAGGGAAAATTCTTTCATTTAACATTAATATAAATGGTTAATTTCTCCTGTAATGTTAATTGGTTGAAAAATGTTTTAAAATGTATAAGTCTTAAACTCACGTCAAATTCAAATATTTTCCTTATGCCGCAATAGTACTTTAAGTTCCTGGCTTTAATGGAAGCAAAATCATCAGTAATGCTTTCAATATTACTTCTTTGTATATCTCTCTTCATCTGAGCGAAAGCCGTATTTGACACTTATACCCAGTAACTACTTTGAATAACTCATCTCAATTTACAAAATCCTGTTTTTCCTCTCATTTCTTGTAACCAAGGGTCATCTATTAAACATTTTTTTTAGTCAGTTTTTCATTGGAGAGTTTCATGAACTTTTTCAAAATGTCATCTCATATGGATAAGTTGTTTAAAAAATTGCATTAAAATGCTTTTGATTTCAGCATAATTTGTGCTCAGTAGACACCAACTGTGAAATAGGCAGTTGGCTATATGATTCCAGCATGCATCTTTGGAAGACAACTCCATCAAGATAGATTTTTAAAGCCCTGAAAACTAGAGCAGGTCATGACTTACTTCATCAGTTTGAACGGAAAACAGTTCTGGGCTTGGAACACAGGAAAACCACAAACTTCTTGGTCACAAACAAAATTCAGACTGGATACCAGTCAGATGGCAGGAGGGCAGTGTGAGTGTGGAGCCTGGGATCTGGTTGAGGCCCTTGCAGTCTATGTGTCTTCTAGCTGGAGATCACAACGTTTGAACAAAAATGAATAATGAAATTCTTTACATGAGTTAAGTGACAATGGAAGAGCAATGGGTGCATTGTGTATGGATCAGAAATTCACAGAGGAAGACTGCACTTCCAGTGGATATGATGGGGAAAGGCTGTCACCTGTTCTAGCATACTGGCCTTAAAACTAAAGTCTCAGCTCCACAGCTCTTCTTCTCAGCTCTACTCTGTGAAGCTGGGGCTCTGGTTCCTTCCAGTACATTTCTCCTTTGCCTGCAGATTGTTTTTCTTTCCCATACCAGTTCCAAGAGGTGGACTAGAAGGCTGGAAGGAATTTTCGGTTTTCCTGACTGGAGTATGACTGATAACTTTAAACCGCCATCAATTAGGAAAAGGAAAACTAATGGTTGTTGCTAGATGCTCTGTGTCACCAGTCAGATTGGCAAAAACTAAAAAAAGATGATAAGATCCTGTTTTGGTCAATGTGTGAGAACATATAAGAGCTCATATGGTCTTGAATATGGATGAATGTAGCCATTGTTATCATGGACAGTTTGCAGTATGCATGTGTAAGGTTTATGTATTTTTACCAATAAAATTGACTTCATGGCCTCTTGTTCAGAGAAAGACACTCACTTGCTTATAAGACAACTGCATACACTTGTAGCAGTCTCTCCTCTAAAGGCATAATTTCTGAGAAGGAATGACTCTAGGAGGTGACACTGCCAGCACTTAGGGACTGAAGTTTTTAATGGAAAACAGCTTGAATCAAATCCAGGACAGCCCAGGGTTGGAGAGCAGGAACCTCACACTTCATGGCCCTTGCTCTTTTATTCCTGCCTCTGCTTTGCTGTTGAAAGACTGAAACCCAACAAAGAGTTGAGAAGGTAATTTTAGAAATATGTTAAAAAGTAGTACAGGACTACTCATACTAAAGAACAAGAAACAATATTAATGAGTAATGTGTGTGATATTCTGCATTCATATGAGATCTCTATGATTTCCCTATTATTCATTTTTATAGTAGATCAAAGCATTTTCTACTAATCCTTCTTTCTCAAAGAATTTCTATGACTTCCTAAGAATGCTTCTAGAAGTCTGAGACACCGAAATTGGAATTGTCTTCAGCATTGAGCACAGTAGAGTTCACAAACTAAACTGTGAAACTAGCACCCAAGTTAAATATTTTTACCAAAGACTTAGCATCTTTCCAGTGTTATCTTCCAGTCATTGCCTCAGGCTAGCTGTCCTGTCTCCTCCCTGTGGGCAGCTACTCTGGGACTCACTGTCCTGATCATTTCTGCCAGGCACACTTTTATGCTTCTTGTAATATGGGCTCATTGACCCTAACAGTAATCCTATGAAAAACTACTGTTATTTCCCCCATATTAAAGAAGAGGATCAAGACAGCATGCATGCCTGTATGCATTCTAAGTTGGTTCAGTCATGTCCTACTCTTGTGACCCATGGACTGTAGCCCACAAGGCTCCTCTGTCCATGGGATTTTCAAGAAAGAATACTGGAGTGGGTTGCCATGTCCTTCTCCTTAGTGTTTGTGACATTTTTCAGGGTCACACTGCTGTTAAATAGCAGAGCTGCAATTCAAAGGTTTTGAAACTTCGAGAACTCCCCTTTCATTTGTGCTGTCTTCCAGTGACTTCCACTGAGAGAAACTTTGAAGCTAGAAACCATCACAGACACAGCTCCTGTGTTGGAGACAGTGAAGATATTGTGTAAGGAGTGGATTGTTCAGTAAAGCAGGACTGAGGAGAAGGTGGGAAGAAGAGGTAACAGGGGTCAGGATCAGTCAGTCAACACCACATGTTGGCAACTTTTCTGGAGATGAGTCTTCCCCCAGATACTGACACCAACAGTTCTTTGCTGACTGGGTATAAATTAGTTTATTTGTGACTTCAGGACTAATCATTTTCCACAGTTTCAGAGACTTCTTTTTCTACCTTGTTTTCTTTTTTTTTGAAGGGGTGGGATGGAGGGCTGCACTCTGTAGCTTGCAGAATCGTAGTTCTCTGAGCAGATATCCATGGTACCTGAGCTTCTCATACTGGAAGCATGGAGTCCAAACCACTGGACTGCCAGGGGACTCCAGGAATTGCACCTTTTGACAATCAAGTCCTGAGAAGTAATAGAACCATTCTAAAGTATAAATGGACAGATGCTATTCCGCAATAGGTTTATGGAGACAAAATAAGGATATGGTCTTCAGAATGAATAAACAAGTTTACCTTCATAAGAATTTAATGAAGAAAACAAATTAGAAGATTGAGGAAATGAACATGTTTTCTAAATTTTGTTATGATGTAAACAAAAATTTTATATGAAAATATAAATATGATGAGATAAAATAATAAATGAAAATATGTACATAAAGAAACACATAAGTAACATCAGGGAAGCCATCGCTATGGACTGATTCCCATGCAGCTGAATACTTTTTATATCTACTTGCTTATTACTACTGAGAAAGTATTTATTTATTGAATTCAATAAATATTGTGGCTAAAGCAGATTTCAGAAGCTCTTAAATGACCACAGGTGAGCGTACAAGGGTGATGTTGCATCTTAGTCAGTGAGAGTCATTTCAAGGTGAGTTCAAGTCTCCATCCATCATTCTTAACTTTTCTTGCAAGCTGATTGATGAAGAGAAGGATCTCATGATTTCCAGTCTGACGATTTCCCAGGCACAGTCACTGTATCCCTTCTTTCTCAGGTAGACATGGATTCCCTGGAAGTACCTCCTCACGGCCAGTGTGGGGCCCGTCCTTCCCAGGGCAGAGTCTTCCTCTCCCATCACCTGCCCCAGGCAGGCATCCAGGTCAGCCAGCTGCTGATGGAGCCCAGTGCAGAGCTGCTCCAGGAGGGTGGTGTCCCAGGCAGCAGAGGAGTGCTCTGTGTGGAAGAGGTTGAAGCTCTGCTGGAGCATCTCGTGGAGCACAGAGAAGGCCTGGGCCTCTTGCAGCTGGCTGTCCTCCACCATCTCCTGGGGGAAAGCGAAGTCTTTTCTGTCCTGCAGACAGAAGCGAGGGGAGAGTCTCCTCATTTGGTCCAGGAGCCTGAGATTCTTCCTGCCAACCAGCACGTGGTTCTGAGACAGGTCACAGCCCAGGGATCCTCCAGGGCTGTAGCTGACCAGCACCAGGCCCGTCAGTAGAGAGAGCACGAAGGCCATGGGGAAGATGAGGCTGCTGCTAGCCTGGCGGAGACAGTGTCTGGTGAAACTTGAGGTAGGTTCTCTGATGCCATGCTTTTGAAGCAAGGCCATTAAATAGGGAACACGGTACTTTTCATTTTCTAGTCATTCCTCTACACTTTTACTTCCTTTTTTGATTTTCATTTATGTATTCACAGTATGATCGAAGAAAATGTCATCAATCTAAATTATTGATTTTACCTATTTCTTAATAACTTCAAATATACCTATCCAAACAGATATTTATCAATCAAATGAGAAAGGTCTTTGTCTTAAGTCAGAATTGATGGGCATTTGTGATTACATACATTATTGCTGTCTCTCATGCCTAAATGTTGCTCTCCTCTTGTCCATGAACACATCTGTAGCCCTGATATCAGGCTCCATTTTTCCTCTTACTTTACAGGGGAAGACAGGCTCCCTTAGCTCTCTGGTTTTTGTATTTATTTAGGGATTTACCAGATCACTCTGGCAATTAAGTTCTTTGAAACAAATGATGAGTTTTCTTTAGTGTTTGATTTAGAGAAGAGGCTGATTATTATGAGTCCATGAACTCCTCCCATGTTTCTCTTCCTTCTAAAACACCTTCCTTCAGGTCCATATGGTTGTGCTTCAGGGAACCATGAGGTTAGGATTGTTACAGATATCATCATTTCTTTCCACCATTTTCTTCTTGGAGACCTGTTGTCTTCCACAGACTGGGCCAATACTCGCTCCAGAATCCTGGTTCTTCTCAGAGAACTTGGGTGTGGAAGTTCTAAATCCAGGATCATTGTATTTCCCCAGCAGCACCTCACTCACGAGGGAGAGATCGCATGGGGCCGCAGCCTGTCCTCGGGAGTGACCGAGTCCCTTCCTCACCTGGTGGACTCCCTCCCTGCGGACAGGCTCACCGCCTCCTGTGGATGAGAATCTCCTTTCTGTAGAGGGCTTGTTTATTTGATGGGCAAATAAATCATCTTCCTAAACCTCCATTCTCTCCCCGGCACTGTTTGTGTGAAGAACCCTAGTTTTCAGTGGTGACCTCCTCTTCTCCTGACACATGTCCCCAGATGTCCAAAGTGTCAGCAGTGCTCAGATACTGAGAGCAAATATGTATTTGTGCAAGTTGGTAGAGGAATTTCCAACGGAAATTATTTTGCTTTTAGTAGATAAATATTATCTGTGTTGCCAAGTATGGTTTTATTATTCAATCCTTTTACTTAAACTGTTGAAGACTTGTTCTGCGCAGAGTTTCTGAGCTGGAAGAAGGAGATTCAGTGATGGTGTTTTCTCTCATTGGAAGCTTATGTCACAGAATCTAGTGAGTTACAGTTGTTCATTCAGGCAGTTGATTCCACTGGGCATCTCTGTTCCTCTATTTCTTTCTCCCTCTGAGAATTCAGGATGGTGAGAACCATACTACTTGTTCAGGGAGAAATAGCCTTCTTTCCTTTACTTGAGTGTAATTTTTCACTTAAAGTTTCAACATTCATTCAGTGACTTGTTGGTCAGGATTTGTCTTGCTGCTTCTGCTCTGGTTCTAATTCACAATAAAGCAAAGAAAGGCAGAGGGGCTGTATCTCTATCATTTTAAGACTAGTTTGAGGTAAGAACAATAAAGCAAAGAAAGGCAGAGGGGCTGTATCTCTATCATTTTAAGACTAGTGTTTTTTTGTTGTTTCCCTTTGACACTTTCCTAGAAAGTAAAAGTCCGCAGTTGTTTTGTGGGCAAAGAGAAAACTAATGTATTCTGAATGTCTGAAAGAAGGGAAGTGGTTTTCCCCTGATACAATGATGTATTCTGAGCTAGCAGATTCAATGCAGCACAGCTGGGGTGAGGCTGTGGCAGAGGGGAAGCATGAGGCCAGTATGAACAACACAAAGACTGGGACATGGCTGCTTCTTACAGAAGCTCAACGAAGGCCAAATCCTGGGTCAATTGACTGCCCTTTGCTTTGGAAGATCAGCTATTCTCAGTTTTCTTTCAATTAATCCATGTAGGATTAATTTCAGGAGAGAAAGAAGAAGTCAAACCCACCACCTAACAAGAGGTGGACAACTAGAATGCCAATTGCTAGAACACTAATCCTCTCTGGCAGTGTCTTGGAGACCAGCCTTCCTGAACATCTGTCTAGGTAACAAATCCACTCAGGCAATGAGAAGATGCTTTGAGAAAAACTAAAAGGAAATGGAATTAAATGATTCCAAAAGACCCTGATCTTAATCAGGGAACTAGTAATTATGATATTAAAATAATCACTGAATTTTATTGCTTGCTACTAATGGACTAGCCACTTTCCAAGTTCTTTAGAATTTTAACTGAATCCTCTCACAAACTCTTAGGTCACACTTACTTATAATCCTGGAGAAAAATATAAATCTGGACAAATGAACTATTCCAATCGTAGCAAAGATTCAAGGGCAAACCTTGGGGGCTTTGATTTATCTGAATGATCCCATTAGAAAAAAAAAAAGGAAGGGTGAAAATCAACATGACATTAAGGAACCAATGAAATAAGTGATTTGATGAGAATGAGATGACAAAGACCCCTTAATCCATTTCAAATGCCAAAGGGTCACTATCTATTGTTTTGTAGGGCCACAGGGTATGGTCTGAAGTCAACAGAACTAAGATCTAATCGTAAATAGACAAAATCACTATTAAGTAGTTAGAAGGGAATAGGGAATAGATTGCTCATTGTTTAGTGGTTAGGATCCAGCACTTTCACTGCTGTGACCTGATTTCAATCCCTGGTTGGGGAAGTCCAATCACACAAGCCTCGCAGAAGGAAGTCTAAGCTTTTATGAAATATAGTGAAATGAAGAAATATGAAATATTTCTTCAATGAAATATAGTGAAATAACTTTATTATTCCTACTAGAAGTGAGCCCTCTTTTCTATGTATTTTAACTCTTGACATTTCTTGTGAGTTTAAATACAAAGAAAAAGCATCCAACAGTTTCTCGCCACATGAGCTCTGATGTTTCTCCTTCAGGAGCAGGATGACAATGAACACATCTCTCAGCATCAAGTTCTGCAGAATGAAGTCACTACCTACTGCAGTCCCTGACCTCCAACACACCCTGACAGGAGTTCAGGATGGAGATCAGGAACGAGGTACTCTGTGCTCTAGGAAAACTGACACAGCAAATCAGCAGAGAGTTAGATAATTTCCAGAGGAAATTTATGAACCCAATTTTTACAACTTCTCATGAGTCAAAAAGCTGTAAAATCTTTCAGAGAGACATCTGTTCTTCCTGATTCTCAGCCACAGTCTCCCAAGATCTGAGCTTATCAGTACGTCACCCCTTCACCACAGTCACATGCATATTGACCTCCCCTATGTCCATGGAGCAATCCCTTAGAGCAGAAGAGAGGCTGACCTCCAGCCTGTAGTCCTCAGCAAGTCCTCCCAAGAAAATGAACTCCCACAACCTGTTGTTCTCATTCTAAAGGAAGACACCGGCGCTTCTCACTTCCAGTCCAAATGGGTCATCCTGTTGTCGAGTCCAGTGAAGAACCTCTGCTCCTTATTTTCCAACTACTGGTCAAGATGTGGGTGCTGAGGAGGCCTGTGTGTGACAAAGATGGAAAAACATGTGCTTCCTAGATAGGAGCAGTGAAGATTTTTCTCCTTAGCAGGGAGAGACTGGCTTGAATTGTGAAGTAAGCCTCAATGCCTTGTGTAATTATCTTTTTTAAAAATTTCTAGATCAACTTATTAAGCATCCTTAAGTAATAGTATAGAATTGACATTAAAAAGTTATTTAGAAAATAATTTGTTAATAAAATGATATGTTTACCAGTAATAAAGGAATGTTTTCTACTTGTTTCAGGACTGTAATCATCAAGAAGTTTTCTAAACCTCTCAATGTACTTTAAATGCCCTCTGAGGGGCTTCCTTGCTGGCTCAGTGGTAAGGAATCGGCCTGCCAAGGCAGGTGACTCATAGGACGACATGTGGTCTAGAGGCTGTGAAGCCCATGCACCACAACTGTTGAGCCTGTGCTCTAGACCCTGGGACCACCTCTACTGAAGCCCAAGTGCCCTAGAGACCATGCTCCTCAATGAGAGAAGCTACTGCAATGAGAAGCCTGTGCACCACCACTAGAGAGAAGCCCCACTTTGGGCAACTAGAGGAAAGTCCATGCAGCTACGAAGACCTAGTACAGAGAAAAATAAGTAAATAAATAAAATTATATTAAAAAATGCCCCTCTGACTTTACATGTAGCTATATGTGCTATATGTCCCAACTGGGAAGAGGAGAAAGATGATTGATCCATCAATGCCCTCCTTCAAAACTGCCTACATTAAAAACCTGAATTTCCACAAAGATCTTCTTTACTTTGAGAAATTGCAATCTCCCAGTCTGCACATTCCTGACATATGTCCTGAGGGGATGGCTCTGTCCCACTGTTAATAAATGTTCTAAAGGCCTGCCTGTGGCTCTTTTATTCAAGCTTGTTTGATTTTGTCTTTCAAAGTTGCAAAGACATCATAGTGGAATTTAAGAACTTCCTTGGATTGCATTGTCGCCAGGTACATCTTGCTCTGCTTTGAGATACCTTGCTGGGTCCCAAGGAGGAAACAGGTCTGAAGCTGTGACAGGAGTGACCCTCTTGCCTGAGTGCAGCTCATCTGTGTTGTTCCATG